AGAGGCCAGGTGCAGGGTAGGGGGCTCAGAATGCAGGCTGGGGTCCCTGTCCCTGCCTCCTGCACAGGGTGATTGAGGCAGTGCCTTGGGAAGCTGGAGTTCCAGGATCCTCTACACCTGTCTGGCTCTGCTAGTTTTACAAAGGCCAGGGCCAGCTCTGGCTGCTGGCCGCCAGGAAGTAGCTCCGGCTGGGAGCTCACTCTAGAGTGCATGTCCTGGCAGCAGCTGCCAAGGCATCCATAGCTGCAGCTATGCAGTCTCCCACTCAGGCACCCAACAGCACCCTCACATCTCCCTCTGAGTGCCTTTGCCTGGGCTCCACTCCAGTGATATAACAGTGGAAAGCCAGGAGCCTATCACATGCACTCTACCACTGAGGCACAGGCCTGCTCCTGTCCAACTGCCCTCTTCCTTCCAGTGTCTTGTCTAGGTAGAGGACTCCTACTTATCCCTCAAAGCCCTGCCTAAAGTTCCCCTTTTCCCTTCAGCAGCGTTTAGAATTCTCCTAGGAGAAACAATTCTTCCTCTGGCCTCCTTTCGGTGCCTTCTGTATTGAGTTTCTCCTTGGCTGTGCAGCCCTCAGGCATGGCTTTTGCTGTTCTTGTCTGACTCTTACTAGATGAGTAGCTTGAGAGTCGTTCACTTGTGCACTTCCCAAAAGGAGGCAAAGAAATGGTACAAAGCCACAAAAACTCCATCACCCAAAGATTTCAACACATAGATCTGATTCTTCTCTCTCTCTCCCAGCCCAGGATCCTGGGACTTTAGGACCCACCCACCAGAATGTGAGTCTGATATTCCACAACCCTGGGTTGCACAGCCTGTGACTTCACATCTTTCCCCTGCCCACAGCAGAGGTGGCAATCCAAAATGGCCCCTGTCCCCAGAGATGGCTGCCGCCGCCTCCTAACCTGACCACTGTGTGACCCTCACTGTGGGCCACACAACTGCGGGGGAAGGGTGACTGCACCAGCCCCAGGACCCACGACCAGTGCAGGCCTGGAACCCAGCCAGAGACCAGCAGTGTTTTAAGCACTCCCTGCATGCCTCTTTCCCAGCCGGGAGGAACCTGAGCCCTGGTTCCCTCTCCTCATAAATGTGGGCATCCTTCTTTCCAAGTGCTGGCTCCCTAGCTCTTCTGCTGTGTGTTTGGGGTGTCTCCAGGGGCCCTGATCCTCCCAGGGGGCAACAGGTTGGCACCTATGATCCAGAACACGGCCAGGGTCACTGTCCCAGTGGACAGAAGGATGGGACCCATCGTAGCTGGTGGCTGATTTTGCTCCCTCCTGCCTGGAGACCCAGGTCTGGGCCCTGCAGGGCCCTGTGACAGGCTGGGAAGGCCAGATCTCTAGGGTAGGCTGGGAGACACCTCTTTGTTTCCCTGCTCTGCTGTGCGGCCACCTCCTGGGTGACCGAGGGCCAGCGCCTGCGCTGAGGGCTGCCCCACCTTTCCCTGTGTGCTCTGGGGAGCCCCTGGTATTCCCTCTCAGATTAGGAGTTTAATTCATAGCAGGTGGTTGAAGGGAGTCTCTAGGAAGTTCCTAAGCAGGTTCATCCTAAGCTGGGTAGAGCTGGGTAGCTGGACGGACACTGCTCTCCGGGCTCCCCTGCATCCACACCCCATGCACACACTCACTCCTGGCCCCGGCTGCAGGGTGTTCCTCAAGGGTCTGTTTCTGGGACTTCTGTCTCCTCTGCTCCAGAACCATCCATGGTTCCCAGTCACCACAAAGGACTTCCTACCCACCCTGTAAGAACCCTGTAGATATTTAGAGAGACAGTGTTGTGTGCCAAGGCCTGGGCAGCAGTGGTGACAGAAACATCTGGCACCTCTGTCCTTTGTGAGCCTTCAGCCTGGTGACCAGGACTGTCGTAGATGCAACTGGGCAGGACTGGGGATATTGTGCCTGAAATGGGGGCCACAGGAAGGCAGCTACAGGGATGAGGGGCAGATCACTCCTTGGCTAAGCAGGGGACCAGCTAGGCAGACTATTCAGGCTGTGGCCCCTCCTTTAGGGTCCTCCAGGCTGGCAGGCTGGATTCATACCCATCCCAGACCTCCACCTCCAGGGCTCTGTCCACTGCCCCTCCACACCTCGGTGCCTGTTCCCTCTTCTCTGCTTAACCAGATCTCACTCATGGTGGGGCCACCTTCTCCAGAAAGTCCACTGAGCTTAGGGTTCTGACCACTGCTGGCTCCCACATCCGCTTTGCCCACCAGCTTGGGTTACTACGACTGAATGGCAGCTACAAACTTCAGGCCTGCACTGGAGAAACGAAAATTAAAACAATGCTGAGATTCCATCTCACTCCGGAAAGAATGATTATCATCAAGAAATCAACCAATAACAAAAGCTGGGGAGGCTGCAGGGATAAAGGAACCCTTCTCCACTGCTGGCTGGAAAGTAAACTAGTACAACCAATGTGGAAATCAGTATGGAGAGTCCTTAGAAAACTAAAACTAGAGGTTCTATTGGACCTGCTGCTCCCCTGCTTTCTCCTTTCATTCAGTGATCCAGGCACACCCGTGCTGAGAGTGACACCAGTCACAATAGCTGATAGCCATGTTTATAGCAGCACAACCAGTGTACACATCCATCAACAGACGGGCGAGGAAAGAAAATGTGGTGCTTATACACAATGGAACACTGCTCCACCATAAAGGAAAGCAAGCGTGTTCATTTGTGGGAGCGCAGATGCCCCTGAAAGCCACAGTGTGAAGCGAAGTGGATCAGATGCACAAGCTTAAATAGTGTTCGGTTTCTCTTACATGTGAAACCCCAAATAGAAATAAAGAGCAAAATGAAATGGATAACAGAAGTGGAAAGATCTTTGCAAATGGAAAGTGGACCAAGAGCAGGGTAGGGGGAAGAGCGGGGACCGGGGTGGGGGGAAGGAACTGAGATGCTATGTTATGTCCGAGTGCCAGCTCCTTGCGGCCAGCGAAGTCATTATGTGCTGCAAACGTGTAATGAGAAAGCAATGAGAAGAAAAGAAGAGCCACATGCCTGGCAGAGCCAAGTGGCTCATATGATGCCCTCTTACCTGACTGCCACCAGACCCTGGGTGCCTCTCCCCTGGAATCGTCACTATGGCCCACCCAGACAGCCCCAGGTGAGGACTGGGAAGGATAGCCTTGCCAGCCTCTGTGACCTGTGACCTGAGGGCTCTGGTCCAGAGACAGAGTAACCTGCCTGCCTGGAGGTCTCCCCCTGGGCAGGAGCTCTACCCGTGGGCCTAGACAGGCGGGGCTGGCAGTACACCCAGGGATGTCATCCTGGGCCAGAGTAGGTTAGCAGCGCCCATGTGACTCACCAGGGCTGCCCGGAAGGGAGGCTCTGACACAGAGGATGTGGCCTCAGGCCACGAGGAGGGTGGGACTGGGCCTGCTCCCCACTGGGGTGGGGGTGCACTGCTCCCTGTCTGCCACGGCCAGACAGACCCCTTCCACCAGTGCACATGCAGGTTCAGCACTGCACAGCCCAGGTGAGCTCTGAGATGTCAGGCCAGGCCCTGCAGTGTGCAAAGGAGTGGTAGAGCTGGGCCTGTGCCCAGGCGGCTGGCTGCCCAGGCAGCCAGGCCATGACCACTGTGACATGACCATGTGCATGCAGGTCGAGATCACATGCACCACAGCAGGACAGGATTATTACTCCTTGTGGGATTCACAATGCATATCTTAACTGCTCTGTGCCCCAGTCTCCTCCTCTGTAAAGGGGGGGGGTGTCAGTGTTGACACTGTCTCCTGCAGGCCCTGGCTGTAATCTCAAAGTCCTGCTGTTAGGAAAAGGCTGGCTCCACCAGGACAAGACCCCGTCACTGTGCCACTAGTACATGTGTGTCTCTGAGCCTTGTGGGTATCTTTAGTTTTTGCTCTTCTTATTTTTTTTAAGAACTATTGATGACAACCATTTTTCAAAACATGGTGACTGCAGATAAAAATCAGAGACTAAAACCTCAGCTTTGGGCCACTCGAGGGCCAGAGCCCTGTGTGGTTCCATGTGGAAGAACCCAGCTGTGGGGCTGAGTTTCAGCTCCCGTATTCAGGGCCTGTGAACTGGGCCTGTGTCCAGCTGTGCACTTGCCCATACCTGTGTTTGTGGTGGTGGTTGCCAGGCCAGTCATAGCAGTGCTTTGTCCCCCACCCAAGGCCAGCACTGGGCCTCCCTTCCTCTTCACACTGGCTCACAGTGCTTCCCTAGAGTCCAAACTCCCTCCTGGCCCTCCCAGACCAGGGTCACTAGGGTTGGCTCTGAGTACCTCTGCCTTCACAGGCCTGGCCAAAACCCATCCCCAACCTCAGGCTGTTGACTTGGCTGTCCAAGATGCCTGGCCAACTGCATATGCTCGAACAGTTCCTGGGGTGTCAATTCCCTTACTAGGGGCTTGATCCATTTCTCAGCAACAATGGCTATCCTTACCTGGACAGGACCTCTCTCCCTGGGATGTCCCCTGCTATGCCCTCTGAGTCTGCAGGCCCCTCTACTCCTCCTGCCTTTGGACTGCCTATGCTCATGGGAAGGGGTGTCAATCTCCACTCATCCTGGCTATCTCCACTGGGAACCCTCAGAATTATTCCTGATTCTCACATCCAGGAGCATTTGAAGGGGCAATAAAGAAGCTCTCCTTCTTCATTTTGAGCTTTAGATCTTGCTTAAGGAAACCAAGGATGAGTTAGCTGGTGCAACAGCCAGGCCCAGGGAAGCCTCCTCCTGAACCCCAGCCCTCCATTCCAGTTAGAGTTATGTGCAGCTGACTCTGTGGACCCAAAGACAAGTGCTCACGTCTATCCCTCTTCCTGTCTTGTTTTAATGGAAATTCAACCTCCGAGTCACCAATGAACCTCACATGAGACACAAACCCAACCTGCTGTGATGGACAAGCAGAATGAACACCTGGGCAGGGCCCCCAGCTACCCCCAGGCCAAGAACAGGAGGCAAGGTCACAGTATTGGCTCACAGCACCTGTGCGGAGCCCCGGTCCCCTCCCTGGCTGCCTACCTTGCGGCCTGCCTCGTTATTGTGTAAGTTCATGAGAGTCCGGGCATTCTGCTTGATCTCGCGCGCATCCACAAAGACCTTGGCGAAGCCGATGCCGTAGCGGATGTCGGCAGAGCAGCCACCCCACTTCCAGCCCTCGTCCCGGTGGTACTGGCCTTGCTTCTCTTTGTCACAGCCACAGTCGCTCAGGTTGCCCTGGGTGCAGGCGGCGGTGATGGCATGGGCCACGCCTGCAGCGATGATAGCGTAGGTGAAGGCAGCCTCCCGGCTCCCTGAGGAGGGACAGAAGAGTGGAGAGGTTCTGTGGGGTGGTTCTTGTGGGCCTGTACATCAGGCACCCAGGGAAGGCTGGACTGGTCCAGGGGACAGCTGAGCTCTGTGCAGTGGCTCCCCAGAGACTGAGCATCCACTCCTGGGTGGAGACTGGGCCTGAGCAGCTCCTCTGTGCACACACCCACTCCACTCTGTCAGGAAGGTACCTGGCCAGTGAGGAATAGGTGTATGGTCTGCCTGCCTCAGCTCTGGAAGGCTGTACTCAGAGTCCCCTTCTCATGTGATGGCAGAGAGCAGAGGAGTCCATCCTTGTGCCTGATGTAGTCACTCTTGCTCTTATGGTCATTGTCCCTACTGCTGTGTCCCCTGCTGGCTTAGATGCCCCTTCCCTGCCCTCCTTGGTAGCTCCCTTGCTGTACTGTGAGCCCCTGCAGTGGTGATGGAGGGTCCTGAGCTGGGGGTTACTGGGGGCAGAGTTCTGGGGGCGGTGTGAACTCAGTGCTACTTTTGAGTGTCTTAATGCCTCTGCCTCTTCCTTTCCCTGTACAAACGGTTTGAGAGCAGCACCTGTGTCACAGGGTGTGGACAGATCCAGGACCTGCTGGGGGCCCCTGCTCAACATTTCAGGGGAGGCCCTGCCAAGAGGTCTGAGCTGGGAACAGGTGCCTGGGGGAGAGTTGGGTTGCTATGGTGGAGAGGCTTTAAGGGATGCTGAAAGGGAGGGGATGGGAGATGGCTGCAGCTTTGCATCTTGGGGTGGGTACATTCCCTCTGCACAGGCTGCAAAGACATAAGCGCTCACTGCTGCTGCCCTCTGAACCAGACAGCTTCCCTATGCCAAGGCTGGTTGTGCTCCCAGGTTCCACCTCCACCCTGACTCACTCAGGGGCTCTGGAGTCCAGGACCCAGCTCCATGCCTCATTGTCACTTGGGGAGTCCTGTCTCCTTGTCTCCTCAGTTAGGGTATATGACTAAAGCCAGTGTTTACCCTGACAGGAAGCCCTGGAAGGGTGAAGGAGAGGGCACACAGAATGCTTAGCCTGGTGACTGGCTCAACAACGGCCCCATGCTGGACATTCAGGGCACAGGACCTCCACTTCAAGGGCCCCTTGACCTCTGGGACTTGCAAAGGGAGTGATCTGGGCATCCTCCCAGTGCCCAGCTCTGTGGTGACCGTTTCCTGAGTCCATGTTGGACAGTAACTGTGGGCAGCATGCTCCTGGTATTGTGGCGACAGAATGCTGTGGACCTGCTTGATGAAACCTGGCAATACTTTGCTACATGAAATCAAGAAGAGAGGCTGTTGGGCTCATGGGGACACAGGACCCTGGCCCAGCCATGGGAAAATAGGTTGGAGTGCAATGGGATCTCTTCACTCTGCTGGGCTCTGCAGAGGAAAGGGATTTGAATGAAGGACACAGGGGACAGTGATCAGGTCTCTGAGCCCTGCAGAGGCTGGAACAGAGATAGCACCTGATGGCTAGGATCCCAGGGAAAGGGACCCAGGAGAACCCTGCATGCCACCCAGCCCCAAGCAAGGCTCCATAACAAGCAAGGGGATACAATGCAGCCAGCGGAGTGTCTGAGAGTCCCTGGTCTGAGGAACTTGGCAGCCCCATTCTTTCCCTGACACACATTGGAAGCTCAAGCTTGTCGCACTGCATGCTCTGGGGGCTCCAAGTCCAGTGGGAACATGGACCCAAGGAGGGACCAAGAGAAAGCACCCACCCTGCCGTGGGCACCGGCTTATGCTCCAGAGTATGAAATGCACAGGAAGCAAACTCTAGGGCTGTGCCAGCAGCACGCTTAGACAGCAGAGAAAAGAGCAGTCCAGTGGGGGTGGGGAGTGTGTGGAGAAGCTGTCACTACCTTCTCCAGAGTGGAGGTGTCCTCTAACGTCTCTGTGGTCTACTTCCTTCCTGTTAAATGGGGTGACCACAGTACCCACCTTTGTATGGTGGCTGTGAGGCACAGAACAAATTCCCATTGGCCAAGCACTTAGATAGAGCTCAGCCTGAGAATGGGGCCCCAGTGCTGGCGATTACAATACGTGGAAGACAGCAGTAGTTGCTCCTCTAAGAGAGGGAGACTGAAGATAAAGCCAAGCATCTTCACGTCTCTTCACTGACAGTTGAAGAAACTGAGGCCAGAAGAAAGGTCTGACTTGTTTAGGGCACCCAACTGATGGGCAGCACCCAATTGGGCCCTAGGAACCCTACAGAGGCCAAGAAGTATCCCCACGGATGATGTCACTCCTAGGTACAGAGGGTGGGTATCACAGGGAAACCTGCTTCATCAGCCCAAGGGTAGAGTATAGGGAGGGAGCAGGGAACCTGGCCTGAGGCCTGTCCATCTCCCAGATTCCTGTCTCAGTTTTGTGCACACCTCTCCTCCACCACCCAGCAGGTGACCAGTCCTGAGTATCTTAGAGGCCTCTGGTCAGCACACAATGATGCAGGGGATCACAGCTTGTGCTTCACCCCTGCCCCCGGCACACCCAGGACACACCTCCCTCACTGCCCTGAATTCCACTTGGATCCCTAGACCAGAGGAGAGACTGGCCATAGGCTTCCTGGGTCATGGCCTCCCCCTCTCTGCCGCATGGCTCCTCCCCTCAGCATCTGCTTGTTGCAGGGCTGACAAGCAATGCAGGATTGGTCGTGCCTTCAGAACTTCTATGGACCCAGGAAAGGAAGGGTCTCTGCTGACCTTTAACAGTAGCTTTGTCCACCCACTTTAGCCTGGGACTGTCTGGTCCTATTGTTCGCACTGGGCTGTGTAACTGACACCAGGCCTGGGGAGTTCTTTGAATCTCTGGGCCATGGGCACAATGACAGTAACTAGTATCACAGGTTAGTGAGCAGACAGACTTGCAGGAAGAAGGTGAGGACATAGGCACACCGGAAATGCTTGGGAAATGTGGCTCCTGCATCTGTCTGCTCAGCCATCTTCAGGTGCACAAGAGGCAGGAGCCACGGGGGTCTTACTCCACCCTCCTCCATCATGCCTGAGGGAGAGAAGGACCCACACCTGGGCTCCCATGTTATCCCTGCTGTACAACTGAGTGACTTTGGGCACTCACTTTTCTGAGCCTCAGTTTTTCCATGTGCAAATAAGTCCAATCCTGAAGGGAGATGTAGATATCACCAGCCACACAGGTGTTTAAATAAGCAGTAGCGACTGGCACAGTTGGTCCAATGGATGAACCCTTATGCTGGCTCCTTGGTAGATTCTTGTTTATGGTCTCCAGATCTGTGCCCCCACTGCCCCTCTAGAATATCATTACCTAGAAGGCAAAGGCTTTGTCATGATTCTCGATGTGTCCCAGGACCTGACACATAGAAAACACTCAGTAAATATCCACCCAGAGAGTAAATGAATGAACAGAAGCTCTGAATGGTGGCCCCCAGCTGCATGGTCATCCCTGATGATCTACATAGCCTTGTGGGAAAGGGGGCCTCTTATCCTTGGGACATAGTTTTGTGAGGAGCTAAAAACAGCACCCCCATTGTGCATGTGAGGAGATCGAGGCTTAGAGGACTCCTCACTAGGCTGGTGTGGACCCCAAGACGAATTCCAACCTCTTCTCCCAGTCCCGGGCCCTACACCAGCAGCTGGCCAGAGGATGAGAGGGCTTAGGAGTGTGGGAAGGGTGGGCTGGAGAGGCTCATGGTGGGCTCTCTGCACTGCAGCCTGTAGCAGCTCCTGTGGTGACACTATTCTCTACGATTTTACACTGGGGGAGATGGGGTCTGTGGGGAAGAAAAGTGATTTGCTGACTCTCCACCTAGAAACTTCCAGACCTGGCCTTAAGGGCCCATGCTGGGCAACTCCTGCCTTGGCCTCCTCCCCTCCAATCCTGGCCATCCTTTGTGTCCAGGAACCCATGGAACAGGATGGGGTAAGGTGGTCACTTTTGTTCAGAAGTGGTGTTCAGTTACCAGTTACAATAAATTAATGTTACTAGATATCAGTAAACAATGCTCGGGCCCTGTAGAGTAGGATACTTTGCTGAGCTCAGAGTATAGTGAATGGCAGACAGCAAGCAGAAAAGAATCATGGAGCCCTGAAATCTGACTCTCAGGGTGAGGAGGTACCTCCAAATCCGTTCAGTCCAGCCTCCCTGACCAGGCAGACAAGCAGGGGAAACCAAGGCTCAGAGAAGAGAGGCAATTTTCCTGGGCAGAGCTCAGGTGCCAACTCAGGTGGGGATGGTGCTTTTTGAGACAGAGTCTCACACTATAGGCCAGGCTGCCCTTGAACCGGCCTCCTGGGTGCTGGGATTCCGGGCCTGCTCTCTGGCCCCAGAGGCATGGTGCCTCCTCTAATCACACCAACTCCCTGCCCTTGCTCTTCCTTGGATCCTCCCATGGGGCTGGCACTGGACACTGGGCTTTTTGGGGGCTGTGTGTCACCAGGAAGGGCCTCCTCACCCTCCTGCCCAGGCAAGAGAAGAGCCCCCTCCTACACCTTAGGGACCAAGCATGTGCCCAGTCCCTTCTCTGAATACCTACTTAGTGCCAGGCACAGTACTGGAAACTGGGAAAAGAGACACCAGGACCCAGCCATGGCAGAGGGAAAGGACAGTGGCTCTGAGGGTGTGACCTGCCCTGGGGCAGTGAGGCGGGGGCCAGAGAGAAGGCTGGGCTCTGGTGGTGTGTAGTGGCAAGTCCCTCTTCAGCCTTCATCCAGCTGGGTGACTTATGCAAGCTCTCTACCTCCCTGAGCCCCTGCTGCTCCATCTGTTAAATGGGACTCCAGGCTCCCTGCCAAGTTTCTCTGAGGATCCCGCAAAACTTCCGTGTCCAGCGCCCTAGAAGGCGGTGGCTGAGCAGTATGTGTTATCACTGAGGTGAACATGGGGCCCAGCTGACGCCCTATGTTCCAGCTCCATGATGATCCCAGCGGGGACAGAGGAAATGAACTGATGTCCAAGCCTGCCTGAAAGATTCCACTCCACCGCCCTGCAAATGGCTTGCACCGGAATATTATCTGGGTA